GCCGTGACATGTGACGCAACAAAAAGGCAGTTTGAGGGGTTGGAACTTAAGGCAGTGGAGGTGGGGTATAGCTTTGGCCAGCCTAGTGGTGGCGTTGGGGTCAGTGGAGCTGAGGGCAGTGCGGGTTGGGTATTCGTTGACATTCTGGATCTCATCCCCCTCCGCCTCACTTCCCCACACCTGATCGCCGTCCTACCATCTCCCTTGCTCCCTTTGTTCGATCGTTCCCCTTACCTCCATTTTTTGGACGCTCCGACGCTTCGCACCCCCCCCTCCCAGGTCCATGGGGAGGAGGGAGTAGGAAGGGAGGAAAACCCTCCCCGAAGGAGGAAGAAACGGAAGCTGGAATGAGATAATCTTAAGACATTCACGCTCTGAAATGCTGGTGGGACTATCCAGAAACGATGCACAGCAAATAGCCCAGATCAGGCATCTGGGGGAACACGCAGTGGAATCAAGGGTGGGCAGCCGTCATACCCCAAGAGGGAGAGGATGGAGGAGAAACAAGAGGAAGACGAGGAGGAGGAGGAGGAGGAGGAGGAGGAGGAGGAGGAGGAGGAGGAGGAGGGAGAGGGGGAGGAGGGAAGAGAGAGGATGGAGACGGGAGGAACGAAGGGGATGATAACACGGATGAGCAAGGGTCAATATAAACGCCAGAGACCAATTGGATGCTCCTCGGGGTCTCTTTGGAGGTCTCCTGAGAGCTTCGTGTAGGCCTGTTGGGGCGTCTTTGGGGCCTCTCGGCGGTCCCGGGGGGCCTCCTGAAGCGTCTTGGATGCCTGGGGGGGGCATCTTGGCGCCTCTTGGGATTCTCTTGGAGGCTTCTTGGGTGCCTCTTGTGGGAATCTTCGGAGCCTCTTGGCGCCTCCTGGGCGCGTCTTGGGCCCTCTTGGGCTACCCTTGGGAGCCTCGGGGGCCATCTTGGGCCATCTTGGAGGTGATCGATCAAATATTCGGAAGGTTCCAAATAGCTCCCCCCTTCAAAGGCCAACATGTGGCCAACATTTTAGTAACATCAGTGATTTTGGCCTCTTCGCCGAGGCCATCTTGGACGGTCCAGCGCCTTGCGAAGCGCCCCCTCCAAACCCACGGGGACGGGGTAGGGAGAGGGGTCAAGCTACCCACCCGCCCGCAAGCCGTCTAGCTCATTCCCACCCGCCCTCCTAACACATAAGTAACACCCGAGCCTGAGCATGTTCAGCGGTCGTCTTTGGACGGGCAGCTACTGGGAACCAATGCCGACCCCAGGTGCGCGACGCTTGGGCAAGGTGCGCCACGCGTGTCGGGGGCGCCACGCGCGCCAGGCACCCCTGGGGCCCGAGCGTGCCAGGCACGCCTGGTGCGCCAGATGCGCCACGTTCTGTGAGTGCGCCAGGTATTCCGCACACTTCAGCCGCGCCAGGAGCGCCATGTTCGAAGCACGTGCAGAGTGCGTCAGGTGCGCCTGCGCAAGTGACAGCACACACTGGGAACCATGTCGGAGAACGCCATCCTTTGCGACAACCAATGCCAATCATTGTGTCTGGTGGGCCTGCGCACAGCAGGCCGCGTGCCACCCCCCGCCGCTGTGAAACACCATTTGACAGTGATCGCGGGATGGCCGCGCATGATCCAGATTGAGCAGCGAGGTGCATGTTGTATTGTTTTCTTATCAGAGATGGTAGCCCCGCGCACGGCAGGGAGTATGCTGTCACCCCCGCCGCCCCTGTCAAACACATTACAAAATGTTCGCGGGCCTCATGAACATGACTCAAGACTTTGCCCCAAAATGTACTTAGCATTGTTTTTTGAGAGGGATGGTGGTGGTGGTGGGGGGCGCGCATCGGGTTGGCCGCGCATGCTCCAAATGTAGAGCAAAGTGCGGTGTGTTTTGTTCCCAACCGTCCTGTGGTGTTGGGTCCTCGTTTTGAAGAAACGGTCCCCGCGTCCCCACCTCCCGTGTCCCTTCCCCAGTGGATGTACCACATGCGTCCGCCACACCCAGTACAGCGTTTCGGGGCTCCATAGGGAGCTCCACCGAAGACCCCAGCGGGGGTGGCCACCTGCGTCTTCCACACCCAGTACAGCGTTTTGCGGCCCCATGGGGACCTTCACCTAAGGGCCCACTGGGGGTGGCCACATGCGTCCGCCACACCCAGTACAGCGTCTCGTGGCCCCACAGGGAGCTACACGTAAGGCCCTAATTGGGGTGGCCACATGCGTCCTCCACGCCCAGAACAGCGCTTCGCGGCCCCATAGGGAGCCCCGCGTAAGGCCCCAGTGGGGGTGGCCACATGCGTCCGCCACACCCAGTACAGCGTTTCGTGGCCCCAGAAGGAAACTCCAGGTAAGGCCCCGGTGGGGGTGGCCACATGCGTCCGCCACACCCAGTACGGCATCGTGGCCCCATAGGGAGCTCCTCCTGAGGCCCCAGTGGGGGTGGCCACATGCGTCCGCCACACCCACTACAGCGTTTCGTGGCCCCATAGGGAGCCCCACCCAAGGCCCCAGTGGGGATTGCCACATGCGTCCGCCACACCCAGTACAGCGCTTCGTGGCCCCATAGGGAGCTCCACGTAAGGCCCCAGTGGGGGTGGCCACACGCCACACCCAGAACAGCGTTTCGTGGCCAGTGGGGCCGTCCGCGTGCGTCCCGCACACCCAATTTGGCATTTTCTTCAACCCAGCACAGCGCTTCCTGGCCCCATAAGGAGTTCACCGAAGTCCCAGTGGGACCGCCCGCATGCGTCCCGCACGCGCAATTTGACATTTTCACCCACCCGGTGCAGCGTTTCGTGGCCCCAAGAGGGAGCTCCACCGAAACCCCCAGTGGGACCGCCCACCTGCGTCCCCCACACCCACTGTGGCAGCTTCACCTACCCGGTACAGCGTTTCGTGGCCCCATAGGAAGCTCCACCGAAGCCCCCAGCGGGATCGTCCGCATGCGTCCCGCACACCCAATGTGGCATTTTCACTAACCCAGTATAGCGTTTCGCGGCCCCATCAGGAACTCCACCGAAGCCCCCCGTAGGACCGTCCGCATGCGTCCCGGAAGCCCCATTTGACATTTTCACTCACCCAGTACAGCGTTTCGTGGCCCCATAGGGAGCTCCACCGAAGCCCCCAGTGGGATCGCCCGCATGCGCCCCGGAAACCCAATTTGGCATTTTCACCCAACCAGTACGGCGTTTCGCGGCCCCACAGGGAGTCCCACCGAAGTCCAATGTAGCATTTTCACCCACCCAGTACAGCATTTCGTGGCCCCATAGTGAGCTCCACCGACGGCCCCAGTGCTACCGCCCGCATGCGTTCCCTCCAACCCAGTGCAGCGCTTCGTGGCCCCATAGGGAACCTCATCTAAGAAGATGTTTAAACTTGCGGTGCCCACAACTGCATATGGTTGGGTCCTTCGCCAGGATCATTTTTTTGACAGGGATGGTGGGGGGGCGAGCCCGCATGGAGTCGGTATTGTTACTGGTTGCGCGCCGGCCGGGTGTGGGAAGGGGGGGTCTATAAATAAGGAAAAGTGATCCAGGCCCTCCCAAGACCGCAAACCGCTTGGCTCACTCCCGCCCGCCCCCCAACACATACGTAGTACCCGAGTTTCAGCACATCGCCGAGGAACGCCACGCATGCCATGGGCGCCACGGGTGCAGGTGCACCAGGCACCCTCGAGTTCCAAGCGTGCGAGGCGCGGCAAGTGCGGCACGTGCTCCACGAGCGCCAAGTGCGCCACGTGCTCGCCACGTGCTCGGCGCGCGCAGTGCGTGCGAGGTGCGCCATTGTACAACCGTCACCGGGTGGATCCTATATTTTTGGACACGGATGGTTGGCCTGCGCGCATCAAGCAACATGCGGGCCCTCCCGCCATCCTTATCAAGAACAATTGCAGAGTGGTCACGGTTCGCCCGCCGAGTGGTCGCGGGGTGCCCATGTATGCTCCGGCTTGGGAGGCTAAGTGCTTGAAAGGGTCGGTCGGCTTGCGCGCAGCTTGTGCGCAGCAAGCAGCATTCGAGCACCACCGCCGTCCTTGTCGAAAACGAATGCTGAGTGGTCGCGGGACGCCGACATTTGGAGGCATTTTTTTTTATTATTATTATTATTATTATTATTATTTTTATTTATATATATCTATAAAAAATGGCATGGATGGTTTGGGGGGGTTTGGCGTGTCCCAGTTTGGCCCGCAGCCGGGTGGGGGAGGGGGTGTTCATGAGCGCGTTTCTTGATTTTCGGCGATAATGGGCATTATCGGGGGGGAGGGGCCAGTGGGGGGGGTATAATGTAACGCCTCCCCCCCGCCGTGCGCACGGCGGCAATGCCCAGAGCGCACTGGTGGGGGGAGCTGCGTTACGTTATGGGGAGGGGAGGGGGGGCCATTGGCTATAATGCCCATTCTGCCTTCAGCAATGAAGAAACACGCTGTATATCATGAGCTGTGATCGAGGCCCCCCGTCGCCCGCAAGCCGTCTCGCTCACTCCCTCCCGCCCTGCCAACACATAAGTAACACCCAAGGGGGTCTCAGCATATTGCTTAGGATCAGGCGATCGCAAACATGGATCAAGGGGGCGTGGATTAGCGATGGGTCCCGTTTCCATGGGACATCGCGGATTTCCGCCGCCGAACGAGGCGGCACCGGCCGCATTTTGGGGAGGGCACCTCCCCCGATCTATGGATTTGGTGACCGCGCGCCAAATCCATGGATCGCTAATCCATGTTTGCGTGCCCCCGATAGGAACGCCACTCATGCCATGTGCGCCACGGGTTCCAGATGCACCAGGCACCCTGGAGGCCCAAACCAGCCAGGCGCGCCAGGTGCAGCACGTGCTCCACGTTGGATATGCTCGCGCCCCCGCCGTCCTTGTATGAACCAGTGCAGAGTGGTCGCGGGGCGCCCGCGCATGCTTCAGACGTGGAGGCAAAGTGGATTCTGTATTGCTCCCAACTAACCTCTTGTTGGGTCCTCGTTTTGAAGAGACAGTCCCCGCGTTCCCTCCTATTTCCTCCTCCCTCCTCCCACCCCTGCCTCTCCCCGCCGCATGTCCTCGTCGTCATCATCATCATCATCGTAGTCATCCGCGTTTCCTGGCCACATAGAGAGCTCCACGGAAGGCCCCCGTGGCGGTGTCCACATGCGTCGCCCACACCCAACACAACCCCTCGTGGCCCCATAGGGAGCTCCACCTAAGGCCCCAGTGGCGGTGTCCACATGCGTCTCCCTCACCCACACAGAGAGCTCCACCGAAGGCCCAGTGGCGGTGTCCACATGCGTCCCCCATCCAGCACAGCGCGTCGTGGCCCCACAGGGAGCTCCATCGAACGCCCCAGTGGCGGTGTCCACAAGCGTATCCCCCACCCAGCACGGCGTTTCGTGGCCCCACAGGGAGGTTCACCTGAAGCCCCAGTGGATGTGTCCACATGCGCCTCCCCCACCCAGCACAGCGCTTCGTGGCCCCACAGGGAGTTCCACCGAAGGCCCCCGTGGCCGTGTCCACGTGCGTTTCCCCCACCCAGCACGGCGTTTCGTGGCCCCACAGGGAGCTCCACCTAAGGCCTCAGAGGCGGTGTCCACCTGCGTCTCCCCCATCCAGCACAGCGTTTCGTGGCCCCATGGGGAGCTCCACCGAAGGCCCCAGCGGCGGTGCCTAAGTGCGTCTCCCCCACCCAGCACAGCGCTGCATGGCCTCATAAGGAGCTTCGACGAAGGCTCCAGTGGCGGTGTCCATATGCGCTTCTCCCACCTGGCAGTGCGCTTCGTGGCCACACAGTGATTTCCATCGAAGGTCCCCGTGACGGTGTCCGCATGCGTCTCCCCCATTCGGCACAGCGCTTCGTGGCCCCATCTGGGAGCTCCACCGAAGGCCCCAGTGGCGGTGTCCACGTGCGTATCCCCCACCCAGCACAGCGCTGCATGGCCCCATACGGAGCTCCGACGCAGGCCCCAGTGGCGGTGCCCACACGCGTCTCCCCCACCCAGCTCGGCGTTTCGAGGCCCCACAGGGAGCTCCACCGAAGGCACCAGTGGTTGCAGTCGTGTGCGTCTCCCCCGCCCAGCAAAGCGCTTCGTGGCTCCATGGAGATCTCAACAGGGTGCCGCAATGGACCCGTTCACACGCGTTTACCCCACCCACTAAGGCGTTTCGTGGCCCCGCATGGAGCTCCATTGAAGGCCCCGGTGGAACCGTTCGCATGCGTCTCCCCGCCCTGTACAGCGCTTCGTGGCCCCATAGGGAGCTCCACCGACGGGCCCAATGGACCCGTTCACATGCGTCTCCCCCACACAGTACAACGTTTCGGGCCCCATAAGGAGATCCACCGAAGGCCCCAGTGGCAAAATTCGCATGAGCTTTCCCTTTAGTACAGCGTCTCGTGGCCCACAGGGAGCTCCACCGAAGACGATATCCACAAATGCTGTACTCTCAACTGCATGTGGTTGGGTTCTTCGCCAGGCTAATTTTTTGAAAAGGATGGTTGGTTTGCGCGCAGCGAGCCATATGACAGCACCCCCGGGATCTTGTCAACAATTAATGCATGGTGGTCGCGGGGCGCCCGCGCACCCTCCAGATGTGGAGGCAAAATGCATGCTGTATTGGTTTTGACCGGGGTGATCGGCCTGCGCGCAGCGAGCAATATGATGGCCCCCCCGCCGTCTTTTTCAAACACCAATGCAGAGTGGTCGCGGGGCACCCGCGCATGCCGTAGATTTCAAGGCAAAGTGCATTATGTTTTGTTTTTTGACGGGGGGGCAGGTCTCGGGTTGGCCCACGGTCGGGTGGGGGAGGGGGTGTAGACTAAGAAGGAGCAGTGACGAGCCCTTGCCCGAAGGGGAGGGGGGAGGGTGGAAAAGGAAACTCCCAGAACCACTCACGCCCAGAGCGCTGGAGGGAGTCCTCGGGGGCCGTCCCGGGGGCTGCCTTGGTCGTCTGTGAGCTGTCCCTCTTGGCGCCCTCTCGGGGCCCTCTTGGGCCGTCTTGGAGCCCTCGTGGGCCGCCTCGGTGGAGTCGTGGGGCGTCGTGGGCCTCTCTCGGCTATCTGTGGGGTCGCTTGGGGCTGTCTTGGGGCCCTCTTGGGTCTGAACTGGGCCGTCTGGGGGGTTGTTGGAGCGCTCTCTGGGCTCTTTTGGCCGCCCTTTGGCTCGTCCGAGGCCCTCTTGAAGCCACCTTCAGCCGAGAGGTCCTGACAACTCAAAATAACTCAAAGCCAGAGGATGTCAGGTGTCTTTCGAATGATTTTGGTCTTTCTGGGTGGCCTCTTGGTCTTTTCTTCGCTGTCTTGGAAGCCTCTCGGGGTTGTTTTGGCGGAGAATTTGGGGCCTTCTGTGCTCGGAGGCTGTTGGGTGCCTCCTGAGACAGTGTATGGCCATCTTGGCGGCCTCGTTGGGTTGCCCTGGCCGTCTTGGAAGCGAATGAGATCGCAGGGAGCCCCAGGGAGGTGTCGGGCCGCCTGGGGAGCATCGGGAGACGGGTGACGATGCGCGTCGCTGAGTGCGACAAGGAAGGGGGGTCACTGAATCAGAAGACCCACAGAAACCCTGCCAGGCAGCACTTGGCATTCTACCACGCCTGAGCGTGCCAGGCACACGCTGCCGGAACAACCCGGAGACTGAGCGGGGATTTCGAGGAGCTGCCGGCCCAGGAGCGCATGGACGTCAGTGGTGTCGTGCGTCCGGCCGAGGTGGTGCAGTTTTCCTCGTTTGGCGCGTGCCGCGATGCTGCCCGAGCGCTGCCCTGGGATGACGAGGGGTTCGTCGTCGCAGACAGCTCTGGCAGCCGGGTCAAGGTGAAATCGGAGGCGTACATTCGGGGGTTGCTCGAGGTGGTCCTGGCCTGGGGTGTCGCCAAATTTCCGCGCCACTTCTGGAGCCCCTGCCCCCGGGGCCCTCTGGTCCTCGTGCGGGGTGCACTGGAGGCCTTTGGGGGCACCTTGGGCCAGAGGCTCCTCTGGCAACGCCCGGTGCGTGGCGATGCAGCGGCTGCTGGCGGGCGATTCGCTTTCCCTCGACCACGACGCCGTTGCGGTCGCGCTGACCCTGCACCGCTCGTCCGCGCCGCTGCCGCCAGGGGTCCGCTGCCGCGTGGCGGAGCTCGGAGGGCAGCCTGACCGGCCCCCTGGCGCGCCCGTCGAGGATCCTCAGAACGCGGGTCAGGCCAGTGTGTGCTTCCTCCGTTCCGTTCCGCCGGCAGCACGCAGTCTGTGCCCGCCCCCGCAGCAGCCGCCCGCGTCGTATTGAAGGGCCTCGGTGGACCAGCGCACGTTGGCGCCAGCACACGTTCTGAGGATCATCGAGGCTGAGGGCAGCACAACCCCCCCCCCGCCGCCAGCCTGGACCCCCCACTCCCGACCCAGTGATTCCCAGTCGAGAGTGGGGGTGGGTGGTGCTGTTCCGGCGGGTGGTAATTAGGGGGGGGTGACCGAACTCAGGGTGAAGAAAAGGCCATTGGAGTGGCACTTTAGGGCCCCTGTTGGAGCCCTCGTCTTCACCCCCCAGTTTGGTCATCCTCCACGGCCACCCGCCACAGCTGTCCTGAAGGGCGGCCCTCTTTATGACGACCCCCCGCCTCGCTCCCAGGCGCGGGGGGGGGGGCCGAGGGGAGCCTCGAGGGGGAGGGGGGCCGTCGCGGAAGGGGCCGGTCACGGAAGGGGGTTTGGAGGGCTTCGGTAGCAGTTCGCGGGAGTTGTAGGACACATGCGAACCCTACCCCACCTTCTCACGATTTCTAGGGGCAGGGGTGGGGTTCACTTGTTCGGGACCTCCCGAGCGAAGTGAACCTCACCTTCCCTTTTAGAACTCGTGGGGTTGTGGGGTAGGGTTCGCTTGTGGCCTCCTAAGCTTTGTGACTGTGTCATCAAAATTCGTAACACAGCGAACAATTGGGGTTACATGTTCATTCTGCAGGCCGGCTGATGCAGTAAGATGAGGAGCCATCGGGGCAACAGCTTCGTTTTCCTTCCCAACCATCCTGTGGTGTTGGGTCCTCGTGTTGAAGAGACAGCGCCCCGCGTTCCTCACTCACTCCTTCCTCCCCCTCCTCCTTCCTCCTATCATCATCCTCAGCATAATAATAATCATCATTATCATCAGCATTATCAGCATCATCATCATCATCATCATCACCGTCATTATTACCATTCTCATTGGCATTATCATTATCATTATCACTATCACTATCCATATCATTCTAATTATCAGTATCGGTATAGTTATCGTTATCATTAATTCCCTACCCAGGCTCTGCCTAGAAGGGTTCTTACTCGCTTGGCTTAAAGGGGCCGGGCAGTTCAAACCGCCCCGGGCGGTTCCCCCAGTCCCCTGGGAGCCAAGCAAAAGCAACAGCAAAGGTAAAAGCAAACGCGCGGTTCCCCCAGTTGCGCTCCCTGGGTGCCAAGCGAAAGCAAAAGCAAAGGCAAAAGTGAAGGCAAAGCGAAGGCAAAGCAAAAGCATAACATAGCATAGCATAGCATAGCGCAGCATAGTATAGCGCAGCATAGCATAGCATAGCATAGCTTAGCCTAGCCCAGCATAGCATTGCGCAGCATAGCATAGCATAGCATAGCATAGCATAGCATAGCATAGCATAGCATAGCATAGCATAGCATAGCATAGCGCAGCACAGCATCCACTTTTGCTGCTGCTATATCTATACGGCGTCGGTGGTTCTGGCGCTACAACCACTACTACTATTACTACTACTACTACTACTACTACTACTACTACTACTACTACTACTACTACTACTACTACTACTACCGGTACTGCTACAACTACGACGCTGAGGAGAAGGAGGAGGACGGCGTTTACCGCTCCTACTGATGTTGCTTTCCTAGAGGCTCCAACTCCTAGGTATGGTTGCACTGGCATAATGTTATCCTTACCATTATCACTATCGTTACGGTTATCATTATCATTATCATTTTTGCTACCATTATCATTATCATTTGCACTATCATTTCCATTCCCATTATCATTATTTTCATTGCCATTGTCATTCTCATGTCCATTATCATTATATTTTATGGATACCCGTATCATCATCATTAGCTTTCGCATTCTCACTATTGTTATCGTTAGCATTATCATTATCATTATCAGTACCATCATCATTATCATTATCAGTATCGTTAGCATTATCATTGTCATTATCATGGTCCTTATCGTTATCATCATCTTTACCGTTATCAACCTCATTATGATTATCATCAGCATTGTCATTATCATTACCATTATCAGTATATTTTCCAAGGTTTGTTATGACCATTCTTAATGCTATCGTATCGTACACATTATCATTCTCATTTATTATTTCCATTCTCATTACCACTGTCATTCGCACAGTCATTATCATTGCCATTACCGTGCGCAGTACCAATATCATTTTCATGGTCGTTATCTTTGCCATTCTCATTTTCAGTGTACGTCGCATTAGCATTAGCATTATTAGTAGTATCATTACCATTCTCATCATCAGTATCATCATCATCATCATCACGTTTCGTGGCTTCATAGGGAGCTTCACCGAAGGTCCCAGTGGCGCAGCCAGTGGTGCAGCCCGCATGCGTCTCCCACGCCCAAGGCAGCGTTTCGTGGCCCCAGCGGGAGCTCCACCGATGGTCGAGGGGGCGCAGCCCGCTTGCGTCCCCCCCGCGCAGTACAGAGTTTCGTTGCCTCATAGGGAGCTCCGCCGAAGGTGTCAGTGGCGCAGCCCGCATGCGTGTCCCCCACCCAGTACAGCGTGTCGTGGCCCCATATAGAGCTCCACCGACCAGTGGCGCAGCCCGCAAGCGCCCCCCCACCCAGTGCAGCGTTTCGTGGCCCCGTATGGGGGCTCCACCGACGGTTCCAGTGTCGAAGCCCGCATGCGTCCCCCACCACCCAGTACAGGGTTTCGTGGCCCCATACGGGGCTCCATCGACGGTCCCAGTGGCGCAGCCCGCATGCGTCTCCTCCACCGAGTACACAGTTTCGTAAGGCACCGCGCAGACCTGAGCGGGACCTCGCCGTCCCTGGGGGGCTGCGATCTGCGCCACCGTCGCCACTTTCGAGGGCTGCTGGTGGGTCCAGCGGAGTGAGGCACCGCGCAGACCTGAGCGGGACCTCGCCGTCCCTGGGGGGCTGCGATTTGCGACATTGTCGCCACTTTCGAGGGCTGCTGGTGGGCCCAGCGGAGTGAGGTACCGCGCAGACCTGAGCGGGACCTCGCCGTCCCTGGGGGGCTGCGATCTGCGACCCTGGGGGGCTGTGATCTGCGACACTGTCGCCACTTTCGAGGGCTGCTGGTGGGTCCAGCGGAGTGAGGCACCGCGCAGACCTGAGCGGGACCTCGCCGTCCCTGGGAGGCTGCGATCTGCGCCACTGTCACCATTTTCGAGGGCTGCTGGTGGGTCCAGCGGTGTTTTGTTGTCGGTTTGTTTTCGCTGATGCTTCGTTTCGTTTTTCGCTGTTGCTTTAACGCCTCGTTTCTTCGTTCGTTTTCGTCTGGCGCCGGCTTCGTGTGAACCGTTCGTTTCAAACCTCGGGCCTCGTTCTCGATGCTCGTTGTACACGCCATTTTGTTTTAAGCATCGTTGTGGTCGGCCCTTGCAGAAAGGTCAACGTAGGAGGGCTCGGCGTATGCACCGATGCTGGGTTCAGGATGGGCCTGACCAAGGAGCAGTGGATGTGTACAGATTTCGTCTGCGCGTCGCCAACTGATCGAGTAGGAGCTCGACTACATAATTTATGTACCCCAAAATTGATTGGTTCGTCGAGTCTACGAAACATACGTCGAATGCTCGTAGATGTGACCCCTTTTTCTCGACGTATTTTCTCCCCGATTCGACGAACATGTCCAGTTCGGGGTCAGGCAATCCTGCAGTCGATCCCCCACCTCACTCGGAGGAGGAGGAAGAGGAGGAAGACTCGTGGAAACCCAAGGGTCATCAACGATGTTGGGATGAACCCTCCCTCCAAGCTCCCTCTTCATAGGCCCCTACAGCGGTTCATGTCCACTGAAGGAACTGCCTCGTTGGAAGACACCGTTTGAAGACCCTGAAGCATGCCAAAACATTATTCTCGGGACTCCAGCGCCACGGTTCAAGCTCATTGTTGCTTCTTGATGATACAGAATCGTGCTAGAACGCCCTTCCTGGGATTTCAACGCCGCGAATCGACAGAACTGTTGGCACTCTCACAATATTTTGTCTCCAAGCGCCATGTCGCAAATTATGAAAACAAATGTGCGTGGCGCTAAGGCGAGAGCTACATTTTGGAAACCACCCGCCCTCAATCCGTGAAACGAATGTGCGCGGCGCTAGGGCGAGAGCTACATTTTGGAAGCCACCCGCCCTCAATCCGTGAAACTGTTGTCACTCTTTAAGCTTCAGGCCCATACATGGTGAGGGAGTCTCTGGCGAGACGCTCGGCCCGCCCTAAAAACAAGCCTCCGGGTGCGACAGGGACAGGTCATTCATAAGGAAAATTCATGGAGGCGGAGAAGGCGGAGGAGGAAGAGAAGGAGGAGGAGGAGGAGGAGGAGGAGGAGGGGGAGGAGGAGGCGGAGGAGCATGATGATGATGATGATGATATGATGATGATGATGATGATGATGATGATGATGCTGATCATGCTGATGCTGATGATGATGATGATCATGCTGATGCTGATGCTGATGATGATGACGATGTTGATGATGCTGATGGTGATGCTGATGATGATGGTGATGATTATGATGTTGATGCCGATGATGATGCGGATGCTGCTGCTGATGATGATGATGAGAATGCTGATGATGCTCATGATGATGATGATGATGACGATGCTGTTGCTGATGATGACGCTGATGCTGATGCTGATGATGATGCTGATGATGATGCTGATGATGATGTTGATGACGCTGATGATGACGATGATGATGATGATGATGCTGCTGATGATGATGATGCTGCTGATGATGATGAGGATGATGATGCTGATGATGATGATGATGATGATGAAGCTCATGATGATTATGACGTTGATGATGCTGATGCTGATGATGATGATGATGATTAGGATGATGCTGATGCTGCTGATGATGATGCTGATAATGAGGATGATGATGATGATGATGATGATGATGATGATGATGGTGATGATGATGCTGATGATGACGATTTTGCTGATGATGATGATGCTGCTGATGATGATGCTGATGATGATGATGCTGATGCTGATGAGGATGCTGATTATG